CAAGGCCCCATCTTGTATTCCTTTGTTGATAAATTTGGCCCTCTTTAAGAGTTGTGAACTTCAACCCCAAGGATCCCCCAGCCAGCCATGCTGGCTAGGGAATCCTGGGTGTTGAAGTCTACACCTCTTAAAGTGGCCAACTTTGACAAACACTGCTCTACTGTATCCAGTTCCTCCCTGTGGCCAATCTTTGTCTCTACCACATACTAGTATAAGGTAGAGTCTTCCTCTGCATGGAAGTTCCATTTTGCTCTTCAGAGTGAATTAGAACTAAGGTGTTGTCTAAGCCAGCTTACCACAGTGGCCAACCTGATGCCAAGCATGAAGGCTATGGTCCTCATTCTGCTATTGGCTCACAAAAATGGGTAGACTTCCTCTGCATAGGGAGGCTCCCCTGTGGTTTGCCACAATGGGGATTCAAAAATAGACTTCCTCTGCACAGGGAGGCTCCACTATGGCTTGCCACAATGGGGGTTCAGAAGTAGACTTCCTTTGCACAGGGAGGCTCCACTATGGCTTGCCACAATGGGGATTCAAAAATAGACTTCCTCTGCACAGGGAGGCTCCATTATGGCTTGCCACAATGGGGGTTCAGAAGTAAGCTTCCTCTGCACAGGGAGGATCTATGGTGTTTTTTACGGTGCCCAACCATGGGCTTTTGAGAAGCTTAGAAGCAGGGCATGAAATTAAATCTCCCTTTTCAGCTGTTGAGCCCACGCAGCAGGGCTTGCAGGTAGACTGCCACTGAGCACAGAGGTTCCACTGTGCTCTCCCCGCTCCCTGGAGCAGATACGGGATGGCCTGGTGCACACTCCATACTGGATCCCACACGATTCGGCTCCGTGCAGGCTTCTTTCTCCTGGGAAGCGCTCGCTTTCCCCTCTCCAGCAAATCTTCTTCCTTTCCAGAAACCGACCGCCCCATCTGCGGGAACCGGATGGTGGATCCAGGGGAAGAATGCGACGTGGGCAGTGAGGATCTGGACGCCTGCTGCTATGGTGCCGGGGAACCGAGTGGAATCCAGTGTCAGCTGAAACCAGGAGCTGCGTGCAGGTCAGGGTGACCAACTGGTTTGTTCAGCGTTATAGATAGGGAGAGCTCCTGTGCTCAGTTCACGCTTCCAGTCCTCATTGTTAGAAGGAGCCCGGCAGCCGCTTTTCCGACCATTTTAACAATTTTTATTAAAAGGCCTTTTAATAAGATAAGCTTTTAAATAAAATCTAGTAGTTGGAAAAGAGGCTCGTCCACAAGGGTCAAAATAGAAACAGCTCTGAAGAAGGCAGAGGCAAAATCATGCCAGAGTGGGGTTTTGTCTAGACCAGAGTTTCTCAGTCTCAGCCCCTTGAAGATGTGTAGACTTCAACTCCCAGAATTCCCCTGGGGAATTCTGGGAGTTGAAGTCCACACATCTTCAAGGGGCTGAGATTGAGCAACATTGGCCTAGATACTGCTAGAAATCCTGGGTTACATTATTTGATGAGGCTGACAAAGGAGTCCTATTTTTCCATTCCCCCTTATAGCAAACATCTCCTTGCCTGGAGAAATCTAGCCCATCAGGGGACAGAGCTAGCTGTCTCATTGCAGAGAGTTCAAACACACCCATTGGATGTCACTGAGAAGTAATTCCGACACAGGCCTTCTCTATCTTTTACCCATAGCCAAATCCGCTTCGTAGGATGACGCGCAGAATAGAAGAGGGGAAGGAGAACCTCCAGACCATCTTAGCTTGCTAGTGACTTACATCCGTTCCTACAACCCTCTTTAACAGAGAAGCATCATCTACCTGTAAAGCCGGTGGCCCCCAGTTTGACACACTATTGGCACAACCTTTGTGGGGGGCAACATATAACCCTCTTCTTTGCAGAAAGATTTTAGGGGGGTTGGTTCCATGTCGTCATCGTTGTCATCCTCATCCTCAGAATATTGATCAGATTCCTTTTTCTACTTTTGGGGGAGTTGTGGACCTGGCAGTGTGGCCCTCTGCCCTTTGGTTGAAAAGCAGCAGCAAAGGCACTGAAATTCAACCTTGAAAGTCACCCACCGGTCTTTGGAAGTCACAAAAAGGTTCTTTCCCCAAAAACCAGCCCTCTTGCTCCTGTCTTTGGAGGCTCTCTCTTAACGGTTTGACTCATTGCTTTCACAGCCCGAGTCAGGGACTCTGTTGTAACCAGAATTGTGTCCTTAAACCCCCGGGGCAACCGTGCCAGGAAGAGAGCGACTGTGCTTTGGAAAGTGTTTGCACTGGATCAACCGCCACGTGTCCAGCGCCCCTCCCGAAAGCCAACTTCACCCCCTGCGGCATGGGGCTCCGCCTGTGTTTGAACGGGGTGAGTCCTGTGGAGGCCATCCAGGAATGAGCTTTGCATCCAAAGGGAGCCTCCAGGTTCAAGAGCAGTCTACCACAGAGAACTAGATGCTAAGAGAGGGGATGGGGAAAACAGGCTGGGGAGGGGATAGGGTAGAAAATGGTTCTTTGGAGACTGTTGGAAACAAGCTGCTGTTGGACGAAATCTTTTGTCCTGATCAAATAAAGCGGTGTTTCTCAAACCTTGGCAACTTTGAGTTGTGTGGACTTCAACTCCCAGAATGCTGGTCCATAAATACTGGCTGGGGAATTCTGGGAGTTGAAGTCCACACATCTTAAAGTTGCCACGGTTAAGAAACACTGCAGTAAAGGTTTACACTTTTCTAGCACCTCCTGGACCAAATCTAACCCAGAAGTTGCATTTTTTTATTCTTTCATATTCTTTTGGGTGCTTATGAATCATGAGGAAGAGCAGGCAACAGACGAAATCCTGTTTCTGCTTTGGATATCGACATAAATTTTAAATCATAAGTAACCATACAGTGGAGACTGTAGTATTCGGTCTTAAGCTTAAGACAGAAACCTGTATCGTGGAACAAATAATTTGATCTATTTTACAGTGGTTTATTCATGCCACATTGAGTTTTGGATGCAAAATTTAAATAACGTCATGCTTTATCAACATTGGCATTTAAGAAATTATGGCTAATATTGATATAAACTTTTTCTTTATCTTTAAACTACCTAAACCAGTGTTTCTCAACCTCAGCGACTTTAAGAAGTGTGGACTTCAATTCCCAGAATTCCCCTGCCAGCATGCTAGCAGGGGAATTCTGGGAATTGAAGTCCATATAGCTTAAAGTTGCTGAGGTTGAGAAACACATGTTTAGCCAGCGTCATATATCATTGGTGCATCACGTTATAGAAGTTCTTGTTTTCAATCTTCTGCCTTTCAGCTCTGCGAAGCGTCCCTCTGCCTCCAGCATGGATTGGAAGAATGCCAGTGTGCCTCTAGTTCCTTGCAAGGGAGATGCCAGCTTTGCTGCCAGCTGCCAGGTCCATCTCTAACCTCAATCCTGCCCCAAACATTTGAGACTGGGCCAGTCCCAAACTTTACTCATTCCATGCTAACGGTTGGGCTTTCATTCCCGGCTAGAAATTTTGTAATGATCAGTTCACACGTTTGATAGAATTCAATCTGGGGGGGTTGAAGCTCGGAAGAAGTTTGGTTGGGCATCTGGGAGGACACCGCCTTTTTTTTTTTTAGTCATGTTTTTAGGGATTGTTGTGAACCACCTATTTTCTTGGAAAAAATAAAGGGCACTCTTGAAAAAGGGGGAAATCTGAAAGAGGTTGATACGGATAAAGAATCTTCTTCGTTTATGTTGATCGCTTGGCTTTACAAAGGAAAATTCAAGAGCAAAACCGAGAAAAAGTTTACAAAAAGGCATGTTCTAATAAAAAGATCTAAAATCAAACAGATCTAAAATCAAAAGTGTATGTAAATTTATCTTAAAAAGACAGTTCAATTGCCATATTTTTCACGTGAACGTGAAAGACTGTGCATGAAGCGGTACCATTGGTACGGTGAAAGTTAAATGACCAAAAAAGGGGCAAAAGTGAGTTTTTGAAAAATAAATAAATCTAAAGGACCGCTTTCTGAAATTTATTTCTCTTATAACAAAGGACGCACGGTCGCTTTAGAGATAGGTGGCCACATAAGTCCTGTAAATAAATAAAAAAATTCAGAAGATGGTTTTGTGAGCAGCCCCCTGCAATTTCCTCCATTTTTGGTGAATGGAACTGTCTCCTTGACAATTCACAGGAAAGTTATTAGAAAGAAACTATAAAAGTCTTTGCTTGATGTATTGGGGGATAAATTAGTTCTAAATTGGAAATAGCTTGGTTGCTGAAATTCTTGTAACCTAACCTCTTTAAATCTCCATAAACCTTGTTAAAGAAGAATTATTTTTGGTTGAGGCAGCTGCCCAAGAGCCCAGTAAGGGAGGAGGGCAAAGAATGTAAACAGGCAACAGTCATTTGCCATTAAGTGTGGAAAAAAGGAAGGAAGGAAGGAAGGAAGGAAGGAAGGAAGGAAGGAAGGAAGGAAGGAAATGGAGAAACAGGAAGGAGGGAGGGAGAAGGGAAGGAGGGAGGAGAAGGAAGGAAGGAAGGAGGGAGGGAGGGAGGAGAATGAGAAGGAAAGGAGAGAGAAAGAAGGAAGGAGAAATGGAGGCAAGAAAGGAAAAAGTGAAAAAGAGGGGAGGGAGGGAGGGAGGGAGGGAGGAAGGAAGGAAGGAAGGAAGGAAGGAGGAAGGAGAAATGGAGGCAAGAAAGGAAAAAGTGAAAAAGAGGGGAGGGAGGGAGGGAGGGAGGGAGGGAGGGAGGGAGGGAGGGAGGGAGGGAGGGAGGGAGGGAGGGAGGGAGGGAGGGAGGGAGGGAGGGAGGGAGGGAGGGAGGGAGGGAGGGAGGGAGGGAGGGAGGGAGGGAGGGAGGGAGGGAGGGAGGGAGGGAGGGAGGGAGGGAGGGAGGAAGGAAGGAAGGAAGGAAGGAAGGAAGGAAGGAAGGAAGGAAGGAAGGAAGGAGTTTTTGGATTCAAGGAAGATATAAGACATGAAATACGAAATCAGCTTCAGTGATCAGATATTGCCAACTGTGATGGCAGCCATTCTGAGTAACGTGTCCGTCTTTGCTGTGTCGTGCCAACTTCAGCCACATTGTGCTTGCCTTGGGCAAGTCCAATCCTAAGCCTTTATTCTTCCTCTCCCCCCACCCCACGGCTTCTCCAGGACAAGCTGAAACCTGTGCCAGCACCTCCTCGAAGATGTGGGACGATCCCTTCAACGGTTCAGACATCCCGCTCATCCCAGGGTCACCATGCGGCGACAAAAGCGGCTACTGTGACAAATTCCACGTCTGCCGCTTTGTAGACGAAGACGGGCCCATCGCAAGGGTGAAAAACTTCATCCTGGACTTCATTGAAATGGACGACCTGGCCACCTGGATGAAGGTGAGGGCATCCTGCATGGAAGAGAGGCATTCAGACCTTGCCCATAGCTCTGTAAAATATCCTAGATTCAAATCCCGGCCCTCCAGATTATTTTTTTTTTTTTCAATTAAATGTCTTGAACTGCCCAATAGCTGAAGTTGTCTGGTTAGTTTACCATAAAACAAACTAAAAATTACAGTTCTAATAAAACCTACGCACTGGAATCAAATAAAATGCAAAACGAAAACACCACACAAACGAGGCAGCCCCCAGGCAGCCGTTTTCAAAGCCTAACAGGATACGAATTAAAATACAGATAAAACATAATTCAAAGCCAGTGAAAAAGCCTGGAAAAATAGAAACATCTTCACCTGGGGCCAAAATGATGTTAATGCAGGTGCCAGTCGGGCATCGCTGGGGAGGGAATTCCACATCTGGGGTGCCAACGTGAAAAGGCTCTTTCTTTGATCGACTGAAAAAAAAAATCAGGGAACAATGATGGAGAAAAAAGACCCCAATCTAATGTTAGACTGGCACAAATTGGCTCCCTTTCCCCAAAATGGACTCCTCTCCCCGAAGCTAGAGATGGGGAAAGGTCTGTGTCGTATGGGATGTAGGAATCTATGTTGCTGGGTCAACACATCTCATGACATTTTAATTGCATTTGCAGAGTCGAATCATACAAGAAATAAAAGAAACAGCTCTCTTGCTGGACCTGTCTGAGTTCCTCTCTTCCAAAAACAACTCTCCACTTGCTAGCATGGCGTATACAGTATATTATTTCATTTCAGACAGGAAACACAGACAGACAGAAGAAAGAAGAGCCGGTTCTAATTCAGGCCACTGAAGTGATAATAATTGCAATATTCTTATTTTTCTCAGTCCTGACAGATGGACTGCAGTATGTTGCAAGTCAGTTATACGTACAGTGACCCTGCGCCCTTTATTATAAAGGACAGTACTTTATTTCAGAAAGCTGTCCTTTAGATTTATTTAATTTAATGCTTTATTTTATCGGTTTTGTTCTTGAATTTTCCTTTGTAAAACCAAGTTATAGACATAAACACTTTTTTTTAATCCTTATGAACCTCTTTCAGATTTCTCCCTTTTTCAGGTTTGTCTGTTATTTTTTCCAAGAAAATAGGGTCACTGGAATTAAACTTCCCCACCGCACCCCAAACTTTTTTTTTTAATGTATTAATTTGACGGTTATCACTTAGGCACAATTCAAGTTCCTTGCCTGAAAAAGTGGAAGGAACTTTTTACATTCAAAACACTTACTGTAGTTACACAGAGCAAATAATCAGTGATTAAACATAGAGATTGAAGTATTTTCCATGTTGAGTTTTGTGAACATGCCCAGTTCTCATTTTTACCTCCATTTCTCATTTTTACAGATATGTTGGGTTTGTTTTCTGGACTTTGATAATTTTTAAAGATTTAATTGCAAAAAGTGCATAGATCGTGGTGGACGTTTCTGCAGGCACCCCCATTTTTCAAAATTTATTTAGATTTATTATCCACCCAACTCCAATGGGCCCATCATGTTATCCAGTGTACAGTGTTGCCCAATCATTTCCCTTGCTTTACACAGCCGGGGTGTTAAGTGAGGGCTGTTCACCATTTAGTTTGTGATTTCTGTTTTTTATTATCTTTTTTGGACTTTTGGCATATGATCTTGATTGATTGATTGATTGATTGGCATTGCAATTTCTTTTTAATTGATTGAGTTATCCTGTTGTTTTCCAGTTTTAATGTCTTCTTGAATGCCTAGAATCATACTACTGAGATGGGCCACTATATTGATTGTTTAAATTTTAAAAAATGCCCCACTCCAATTAACGCCATCATTTTAAGCTGTAAGAACTTTAGCCCATTGGAATTTATCTTCATCTTTCCTATTCTCACTTTTCTTTGGGGGAACTTTGTGCAAAATTGCAGTTCTGCTTAGCCCAACAAATGTAGATTCGCTGTTAACAACTATCCTCAAAACCAGTTCATTAAGTCACATTCCAGATTTTTGTAGCCATAATGGTACTCGTTTTATCACTGGGACACTTCAGTGAATCTGTTTCCAGACTTTGGGACATGGTGTGAGATCGGATCTGAGTTGGCGAGAGGTGTCTGGCCCTTAAATATGGAGACATTGCCAGTGGTCACCAGGCCAGCGATGATCCATGGACCACATTTTGAGCATCACAATGTGGCCCATAGGTTGCCCACCCCAAGGCTAGATGAACCAGGTTTAATCTGGCTGCGCCTGGTGAAACATACATCTCCTCCTTCCATGATCCTCTTATTTCTGCCCCGAGTGCCCCATGAGTATAGGAGAGGTAAAAATGGGAGACAGGTTCAAGAGAACCTCCATGTGCAGAAGAAGGGATGACAGTAGCCAGGAGATGTGTCCCTGTAACGGTACGTGGGAAAGACCTTGGGAGATGGGGCGAAGAGATGCTGCCAAGGGAACAGTCAGATAAGAGATGGCATAGCCCTCAGCTGCATAGTGGATTGGTCAAGAGGCTCAGAAGGGACCCTCCCTAGTTTCTTGGGCTATAAAGGAGACAGCAGGAGATTTGTACTTTCAGACTTGCAAGATTCTGGCAATGTAGCCTTACAATAAAGTGGAATTAGCTCATCTGGTCATGATTCCTATTGAACCCGACCTGGTTGCAGTGCCCCACAGGAGTTGGGAAGGGGGCCTCCTTCAGAGAGCAAAAACATTTGCCAATCTTCTGTTTCAATTTTCCCTGGTCAGTAGATCAAGCAAACCCAGCCGAGGTTTAAATCTCCAGGGAATAGGGCCTGAAAGGTCTGGCTTTACGTACCTGTCCTTAACACTAATTAACCTGACTTAATACTAATTGTGCATGTGTCTCTGTGTGGTTTCTTTCTGCAGACACATTGGTGTGCTATCCTTCTAATGGTTTTGACCTTAGCAGCCATGATGTCTGGCACGGTGTTCCTCTTTGGAAGGACGGTCAGCAGCGAAACAGGTAATTTTGGGGAAGTGTGTCTAGCTTATTACACATCAGACTAGGCTAGGACAAGTGTGAGCAGTTGGTGTGACCAGCAATATTGCATAACCAAGATAGTCACACTAAGCCATCATCTGGCTTACAGGTTTGGGCATGCATGTTATAGGTAGTCCTCACTTAACAACAATTTGTTTAGTGACTGTTCAAAGTTACAATGGTGCTGAACAAAGGGACTTACAACCAGTCCTTGCACTTACAACCGTCACAGCATCCCCGCGGTTATGTGATCGCGATCCAGGTGCTTGGCAACCAGCTCACACTTACTACGGTTACAGCATCCTGGGGTCACGTGATTGCCATTTGTGACCTTTCCAGCCATCTTCCAGCAAGTAAAATCAATGTGGAACCGCATTATTTGCTTAATGACCACTGCAAAAAAGGTCATAAAATTGGGCATGACTCGCTTAACAACTGCCCTGTTTAACAACAAATTTTCCAGTCCCTCTTGTGGTCTTTGAGTGAGGACTATCTGTATATGACCACTGAAAGGTATTGTTTATACATTCTGTGTGTGTAATTGTGTTAGGTGAACTCTTTAACTTACTCATGGATTTACTTAACTAAGTCTCTTGCCACTGTAACTGAGTCCATCCTCCTTGCTGCTGGTCGTCCTCTTCTTCTCTTTCCTTCTACCTTTCCCAGCATCTGAGCCTTCTCCAGAGAGCTGCGTCTTCGCATCATGTGTCCAAAGTTGGATAATTTAGGCCTGGTCATTTGTGCCTCGAGTGAGAACTCTGGGTTGATTTGTTTGAAGACCATTGGTTCGTTTTATTGGATGTCCATGGTATTCCCAGGGTCTTCTTCAACATTAAGTTCAAAAGCATCAATACTCTTCCTGTCCTGCTTCTTTAAGGTCCAACTTTTGCTTCCATAGAGGGTCACAGAGAATCCCATGGCTTGTGCAGTTCTGATCTTTGTAGGGAGAGACACATCACAGCATTTGCATATCTTTTCCAGGGCCTTTATGGCTGCTCTACCAAGTGCAGCGTATTTCTCATATATATGGCATACATACAGTGATTAGATTTCAGGTGTTTCATTATGTCATGCCCCAAGTATAGGACTTTACATGACTCCCCCCCTCCCCCATCTTGGAAGGAGGAAGAATTTTTGAATATACCATTCTGGTAGATTTTCTAGATCCTTTCCTGAATCACTGCTGGATAATACCAAAAGCTGATGAACTATATAGAGTCATCTCAAGTGCAAAGGTCCATGAGTTCTATTCCTGGTAGAATTGAAGGATCACATCCGGCCACCTCCTCTGATGAGTTTCAAAGAGGACCATTGTAGCACCTGCTTCTTGGCAGTCAGTGTGTAAAAATAGATAAATTTCTCCCCCCTTCAAAAGGCAAGGTGGAAGTCATATAAATCACTGTACATGGGGGCACAATGTAATATAACATCTGTATCTGTCTGCTCTGAGAGCTTAAGGGAAGGTGGACAGCATACAGGTAGTCCTCGACTTACAACCACAGTTGGGACCAGAACTTCCGTTGCTAAGTGATGCAGTTGTTAAGTGAGTCGTGCCCAATTTTATTACCTTTTTTGCTGCGGTTGTTAAGCGAACCACACAGTCGTTAAGAGAATCTGACTTCCCCCTTTGACTTTGCTTGTTGGAAGCCACCCTGGGAAGGTCACAAATGGCAATCATGTGATCCTGGGATGCTGCAACTATTGTAAATTTATGCCAGTTGCCAAGTGCCAAAATTTTGATCACGTGACTGCAGGGACACTACAACGGTCGTAAGTGCGAGGAACACCCATAAGTCATTTTCAGTGCCATTGTAACTTTGAATGGTCGTTAAACAAATGGTCATAAGTTGAGGACTACCTGTATATTATTCTGATAGACATATTAACAGGTAGAACCATTACTGAATCCAGGAATTGCTGCCAGCAAAAGATTTCCCCAGACTAAATTGCTTTGGATCAGGATGTTCTAAAACCAAATCCAGGTGGCTTGCGCACCTGCTTTAAGAAATAGACTCAGGTAAATAGTTTAATTCCCTGCAGACGAAAAATCCACGAGGATCTCTGACAAGGCAGGATCTGTTGAACATCTGAGGGAGAAACAGCAGACTTTCTTTTACTGGGAAAACAAGATTTCTATCAACACCATGCATCAGGACTCTTTGCTCAGCTTCCAGCAAGAGACATCGGCCAACTCCACCCTCGCTGTTGTAGCACAGATAACACCAGCATCCCGCAATCAATCACCCTCGAGTGTGAGCAGGAAAACGGTGAAAGGCAGCTGGGTCAAAGGGGAGGCAACACTATGCTGAACCAAAGGAGAGGATGGGAACATTTTAGCAACTATTAAGATTTGCTTACTGATAGGATCTCTGTTATTTTTCTTTTCTTCCCTTTTCTTTCCTGTTTTTTTTCTCTCTTTCTAAAAATGATTAAAAAAATAATAATAATGATTTTTAAAAATTGCTTTGGATGCCTGTTTGTCTTAGGATCAAAGGAGGCTGAGTTGGTGGGAACACAAGATGGGGTCACCTCTGTGATGGCCCCAACTGTCCATTCCTACAGTTTAGTTTTAGCTGGACTGTTTAAGCCTTTGGTTAATTTCACTGAATGCTTTTAAATAAAGGTAGATCTCACTTAACGACAGCTGCGCTTAGTGACTGTTTGAAGTTACAAAAACACTGAAAAAGTGACTTTACGACCCGTCCTTGCATTTATGACCGTCGTAGCATCCGATAGTCACATGATCAACATTTGGGGGCTTCCAATAAGCAGATTCAATGGAGAAGCTGGCAGTAAAATTACAAGTTGCGGTCATGTGAAGTTTTGCTTAGCGACCACAGGTGATTCGCTTAACAACTGAAGGGGAAGTGATGTAAGTCTGTTGTGGTCACGTTTCGTTTAGTGACCACTTTGTTTAGCGATGGAATTGCTGGTCCCAATTGTGGTTGCTAAGTGAGGACTACCTGCAGAGAGGCTGTGCTGTTTTCAAGAATGCCTTCTTCCTGTGCTGATTGAATGTTGCTGGTTGATGATCACGTTTTACAGTATTTTCAAAGCGTTGAGTTCTGGTGACTCCAAATGTTATAAATCAATAGTGGGATCAATCTATCTCTCACCTTTACTTCCCCCTCCCCAGTTTATTCCACAGAATCACAGAGTCCTGGGCTTGGAGGGGACTTTGGAGGTCTTCTAGTCCAGCCCCTTGCCCAGGGCAGGATCAGCGCAACACAGAGTGCAGTATCACTTCCTGCGATCTTGGCATTATCCTGCTGTTGACGTAGCCCCAAATTGCATTGGCCTTTTGGCCGATGGTGGAGGGAACTGGAGGAGACAGACACAGGCAGGAGACTCCAAAGCCAGACCTTAAATTAGGGGCACTCCAAAAAAGGTATTAACCATGTTTAGTTTATCTTCTGGGCCCAGACAGTGTCAGCCAAGTGCCACCCCAAGCAGAGGCTCAAAAGATGAGAGCAAAGCTGTTCTGAGCCACACCCAGAATGCTTATTGAAGTACAAGGTAGCATCCAAACGCCTGGATATGGACCCCAGGGGTTTGGCTTTGTCCCCCACCCAAACAGAAACCCTGGAATTTTATGGTAAACCATCTAATAAGAGCAACCCAATTTGGGATGTGAAATAAAACAAGGAGGCGATCAGGGAAAAAAGTCTATTTTTTTGGTCACTGCTACCAAGAGCTTATAGCCTGTGGGAAATGATTCCCTCCTGCAAAAGCGTGCTCTCAGTTAACCAAGTTTGTTCCATGCTTGATTGTTCCATAATCCAAATTAAAAGCGTAAGCAAGAGGGTTTGGAAACTGTTATGAACCTTTTTCTGCATCGAAAAATAAACTTTTCATGGTCCCATATTTCATAAACAGTCCTGACCAGCTTTCCAAGCCACACACTGCAGAGGTCAGAGTTTTCAAAGAACATCAATCCTGGCTTTTCTCATAAATGGAAGGTATGACAGCCCTAGTGCTGAATTCTTGCCTACGGATTCAGGAAGCAACCTGCGTAACTTGCACCCAGAACCAAACCACTTTGGAAGGTTTATCTGTACAAGAAGAAATGCTGTCAATTAAAACACCCAACATTTCTGCTGCTCCTCTTTCTTCCACCTGCATGTCAAAAGTTCACCGCTGGTTAATGCAAAGTTGGAATGTTTATAATCATGCCATAACCTTGCAGTGGGAACGGGGCAATGGAAAAACGAGGGAGAAACAGAATCCACTAAGTCCAACCCCTTGCTCACTACGGGGATCCAAATTACGCATCCCGTTCAGATGACTCTCCATCCCCCTTTCAGATGCGCTCCACCACCTCCCAGGGTCACTGGTTCCAAACTAAACTCATCGTCCTATTAAGATTGTTCTAACTTTCAGCTGAAATCTGCCTTAGCTTCTGGTAACTATTCCTCCCTCCTTTTATCGTCTGGTAATAACTTGTGAGGAAAGCCCTAGAGCCCTAAACTCAAACCCTTGAAGACATCTAAACCAGTGTTTCTCAACCTCAGCAATATTAAGATGTTTAGACTTCAATTCCCAGAATTCCCCAGCCAGCATGCTAAACATCTTAACGTTGCTAAGGTTGAGAAACACTGATCTAAACCAATCCAGTGTTCAGGATAGGAATCCAAGGTAAGGCAACCACAACAGATGGTTGACTGGCCTTCATTTGAACCCAGCCAATGAGGGGGACCTACTTGGGGGTTCCATTGTGAGACTGTGTTGTAGGTCAGGATATTTTCCTAATATTCAAGCAGAATCTACCTTCCAAAATTCTATGCCGTGTGCTCTGGATGGAGAATGAAGAAGTCTTCACCATCTCTGCGTGACCTCCCACCAGGTATTTGAGAAGGACTATCATCTTCCCTCTTAGTCATCTTCTCTCAAGGCTAAACCTGTTCTTTGGGGGTCATTTTGAATCCTCCAATCCTCCTATTTGTCCTTCTCTGAACCTCTTCCAACTTCTTTGAATCCTTCTCAAGTCTGGGGCCCACAACTGGGCACACCTCTGGTTACAATGAACCCCATCTCAAAACCAACAGCCGATTCCTACCCCAGTTTCCAAATCCACAACCTGCATTGATCAGTAAGTTCTTGGGTCCTTGAGGCAAACGAGTAACTCTCTTGGCTCGCAAATCCATACATTCCAACTTTAATTTGTTAACATGGTCAAGAGATGGGACCCAACCACTTTATCCCAAACTCACGTTGACTTTCACAAAGAGAGAAAGTGAGAGCCCAGACAGTTTGATGAACAATTAGCCTCTCTGGTGGCTCTTTTATAACCCTGATGGAAACAGGGCTGTTCTCTGCAAAGGAGTACCGAGATATTCCTGCTAGATGGCAAGAGAACGCAAAACTGCTTCAGCTGGTTTCATTTCACAAGGTCCTTGATGTATTTCCATCCTTGCTGTGTGAGGTCACAGCCCTTGGTGGGGGCTACTGAAAGAGCGTTTATGACAGTACGAACCCCTGTGAAAAAAGAAATAAATGTGAGAGTTCAACCAACACCCTCAGGAATCAGTGACCTGTTCCATGAACTTGTGATTTATGGGTCTGATGATTAGAAAGGGTAGAATATGGAAGAAAGGGAGCCGTGATGTAACCTTAGAGAGAAAGGATAAAATATAAATGCATTTATAACTGCTGTAAAGAAGATTGGAGGTCCCTTCCTTCCTTCCTTCCTTCCTTCCTTCCTTCCTTCCTTCCTTCCTTCCTTCCTCTTTCCTTCCTTCTTTCTCCATTTCCTTCCTCCCTCCCTTTCTCCATTTCCTTCCTTCCTTCTCTCTTTTCTCCATTTCCTCCCTCCCTCCCTTCCCTGCTCTTTCTCCATTTCCTTCCTTCCTTCCTTCCTTCCTTCCTTCCTTCCTTCCCTCTTTTCTTCCTTTCTTTTTTTTTTCTTTTT